TTACCATAATGGGGATCTATAGCAAACAAAATAAGAACCCATTCAGCCTTGATGGGTCGGAGTTAAAGTTCTCGGGACTTCTCCCCTGTCGGTGGCACCGGCTGAAACCCTACATCCCACACTGGGAAGGTTGTATTTACGTGGGCATCAGGGCGGCATCAGGCTTCTCTAACACATATGGGAAACACAGTGCAACAGAACCGCAAAAATCCCTGAACTCTGGGAGTGTGGCTTGCATGCTATCCGAGCTGTCTCCAATACAATGCGATGACATGCTGCTGTTGCTGCCGTTCCTACTACGTGGACTAACTTGTCGTTGATGTCTCTGAAAGTACTGCAAAGCGCTGGCCGGAACTACTGGTGTTACAGCTACTGACGGGTGTGATGATGCTCTGGCAGCCAATGCTGAGGCTCGGGATAGTGGCAAGACACATCCTTTTTAGTCTCGCTGCAAAAAAAGCGGGACGGTTAACGGTTAGTCACTCCCAATGCAGTGGCTTCTGCTACTACTGCAACTGCAACTACTACGACGGGGACGACCAGCATGACGACGACTGACCACCACTGAACTACCACTACCAGTACCACTGCTACCGCCGCTACCACTGCCATTACCACGACCACGATCACGACCACCACTGTCACTGCCACCACCACCGCCAGGACCACTACCGCCAGGACAACCACCACCATCACGCCGAACCACACCCACACCGCCACCGCCCCAGCTGCCGCCACAGCCACCGCCCTCCACCACCACCACCGCCACTACCAGCACCACCATCACCACCACCACCGCAACCACCACTACGCACTACCCACTACCCACTATCCACTCCCACCACCACCACTAACACCGCCAACCACCAGCACCACCAGTACTACGGGTATCTCCAGTGCCACCAGTAGCACCAGTACCACCAGATGTTGAATTGTCATGCATCGTTCTTGGTTTTGGAACTTTGAAACTTCACGCGCAGCATATACAGGGCCTTTATAAATGATAGGTTGATTAGATAGTGTAGCTGTAAAAAGGAGCCATAAGAAATACAATTGACAATTGTTCATGCCCTTTTATTACGACGAGCCCGAACCCAACTCCATCTCCAAGGCCTTCTTGTACGCATTGCCGAACGAAAATCGCCCGTGTCCGCGATTGTCACTGAAGCCGAACTCCTGGCTTCGGTGTAGGGAAGGGTTCAGGGTTTACGAGTTTGGGTCTAAGGCTTAGGGTTTATAGGGTCCAGGATGTAGGATTTGAGGCTTAGTGCCTGGGGCCTAGAGTTTGCAGATTAGGGTGTACCGTGCACCTGTGGTCCAAAAGATCTACACGCTTTAAGGAACCGATTTATAGAAAGCATAATAAGGAGCCCTAAACACCTTTTCGGTTACCGCCAGGGTTCGGGGACTTTTGGGCTTAGGGTTTTAGGGTTTAGGGTTTACGGGTCTAGGGTTTCGGATGTAGACTTTGGGTGGCTTCTAGGGGTTATAGGGCCCCCCTGGATGAGGGTCGTGGTTGTTGGTTTTCGGTAATTAGACTTGTAGATGGGTTTAGCGTTTAGGGTTTACCTGGGCCCTGAAGAACCTACCTGTTTAGGGCTCCTTAGTATGATTTCGTGACATAAGTCCTTAAAAACATGTACGGTTCTTTGAGGTTAGGTAGGGTTTACGCGTTCAGGGCAAGGAAGTATCGGTTTTGTTCTGCGGGGACTTGGAGAAGAAGATGCCCGGACAAAATTACGGCAGCGGAGTTGGGGTTTAGGGTTTAGGGTTGAGGGTTCGGGTTTAGGTTTTAGGGTTCAGGGTTTACCCCAACGGTGAAGTGCTCGAAAACCGAAGCCCCAAAGCCCTGATCCCTAGACCTTCGTAGAACCCTGAAAGGAGTTGTTAAAGGAAGCCTTGCAGGAATCATTAAGGGGACCCACAAAGGAACTCATGAAGGAACCCCCTGCAGATGTCATAAATAGCAACCCATGAGAGAAATCCAACCCCTGAAACCCCTAAACCCCGAAACCCTAAACAAGTTTAGGGTTTAGGGGTTTAGGGTTTAGAGACACAATCTTCCATGCCAAGGCTTCAGGCTTCTTTGAGGGATCCTCTCAGTGTTCGTCTAGGTTAGAGGAAACTGCAGGTGGGGAGTTTGGGGTATATAGGGATTCTATAAGGCTTCTATAAGGTATGTAGACCTTCTACAAGGCTCCTATAACGGTAACTACCCACCTGAAAATGTCCGAGACTAGGGATTACTTTTCGGTTTTTTCGCGTTTAAGGGTTAGGGTCTAGGCTTAAGGGGATTAGGTTTCGAGTTCGAGGGTTCATAAATGTCACTTTTTTTTTCGGAGCCCCACGTTTTTGGAGGAGACTCAACGACTTTTTACTGGGACTGCTTCGAATTCAGTGCTCAGCGACGTCAGGCTCTGGGTAACACTGGACTCTGATGTCCAGTATGGGAATTTCAGAGTTTCAGAAAACCGGGGGCCATGAGTATAGACTCTACACATCCTGCACCCTAAACCCTGAACCCTGTGAACTGTAGAAGCTCTAAGCCCTAAACCCTATAACCCCTAAATCCTATAAACCCTATAGACCCTATAAACCCTGAAGACCCTACAAGCCATATAAGCCCTGTAAGCCCTGGAATACCCCATAAACCCTAAACCCTCCTGAAGAAACCTTAGGTCCACATTGACTAATGCATGGACCTCAAGGGTTGGAAGAGGCGCAAATAGTAGTAGTAGTAGTAGTAGTAGTAGTAGTACAGGGGCTAAGAGGGAGTTTCTTAGGGCCTAGGGTTTAGGGCTTGGGGATTAGGGGCTTAGGGGTTTAGGGGTTTAGGGGTTTAGGGTTTAGGGGATTAGGGGCTTAGGGCTTTAGAGGTTCATGGGCAGTTATAAGTAGAGCCCCTTATTTGGGTTATAATTACAGTTGCCCTACTTATAACCCCTAATTTAGGGCTTGGGGAGAGAGATTTTAAGATGCCGAGCCCCCTGGTTTAGATGTGCTGCTTCTGTCCCTACTGTTCACACTGCCGCTGTGTGGCTACTATTGTTCTCGCTGTGATGTAACCTACTATTATTCGACACACGTAAAGGATCTAGATGCTTGAGTGCGAACACTTTTCAATGGCACCAACAACAGGAAAACGACAAGAAGGACGGTATCAGCAACAACGGCAACACTCAGAACTCCAACAGCACCAGAAGCAGCAGCAGCAGCAGCAGCAGCAACAACAACAACAACACTGCTGCTGCTGCTGCTGCTGCTGCTGCTGCAACAACAACGCCAACAACAACAGCAATAAAAGGCCTGATAGTATCCATAGCGGTTACTGTAGCAGTGGGTGATACATTCCTAAAAACATCGTATGTGACTGTAACGTATGAAACCGTCCACACAAGTCGCTGTCCTACTTCTACTGCTGGAATCAGCTACAATACCTGTTGCAGTGGTGCATGAAACTTGCGTCGTAACAAGACTAAACATACGCTAGACTCTGGACCCTTCGAAGTGAAACTGCTCTTTTCTGTCGAAGGGTCCTCGACCTGCTGGTGCAACCGTTGGCAGCCCTTCTTCCAGATCTCGACTGTCTCGCGTGCAAGCACCTGGGGGTGAATTCAAAACGTTTGGGCATGGCTTGGATTCTCCAGTCTCGTCTCTTCCTTCCATTCGCGCTTGTGGAATTTTCGCTTGACTAATGCTGGCCGGCTCTACAACTGGAGCTATACCCTAAGAGAAATCGCCCCTTACATTGATGGGCTGCCGTACACACCTTTTCACTTGTAATTACTTCATTTTTGCCTAGTCACCGAAGCTGGATCAACAACTTCTGTGATCATCCAAGATTGCTGCTGGTTTCTCTGGCAAGCACATGTCTATAGTCATAATTATGCCATATGTTTCCGAAAATAGGGGACCCCAGTAGGATCCTTCTTATACGGACCCCAAATTAAGGTACCCCTTATTTTCGGAAACTCCCATATAGCCGTAAACCCTAAACCCAGAATTGGAGACATCTGGTTCCGTGCCCATCACAGCATCAAGTGCGGCGGAGTTGGGAGTTCTCATCAAAAACCCTAAGCCTTTTATAAGTTACATTTAACATAGCCAGGAAATGGAGGATTTAATCAAGGGATACAGGGCCGGGAGTCTCGAGATATTTAGGGTTTCGGGCTTAGGGTTTGAGGTTTAGGGTTTGGGGTTTGGGTTCAGGGTACAAGGCCAGGAGCACCCGACAGAAACCCGGCGAACTACCCAAAATAATCTCTAAACGAACCGTAAATCATCGTAACCCATGTTAGACAATGCCAATAAACCCTAAACCTGAAACCCTAAGACTTAGAGGCCTTACCCTAAGGGTCCATGTAGCCAAATAAATACACTTTGGCCTTAAGGTAGTCCCTATTTGGGTACTTTGGGGCCTATGTATATCTATTTGGCTACATGGACCCTTAGGGTTAGTATTCTTTTTCTAAACAAGCCGTGGTGCAGACGGAAGGATGCAAATCCCGTGCTGGAGGACGGCGTCGCGGGCACGTTCGGGCCACGCCTGACGAGCGATCGCGATTTACAGAGGTTAGTTGGTTAGCTTAGTTGCTGAGTTCATAAGCAAAAAAGTGTACACTTTTAGTCCTATAAGGGATCATGTTCTTGAGGGATCATGTTATCCCAAAAAGTTTAAGTGTAGTAATTCAGCTATCCATGACTATAATAATCCAGCTGTTAGAGAGTGGGGGCCATATCCAAAGACTAGGGTTTTGAAGCTAAACCCTACTATATTTCTATTGGGACTGTCAGGGAATAATGTTACTGATTCTTTGGGCTTCTATAGTAGTACGGGACAGCCGGGATCTGGACGATTCATAGCTTCACTCTCCCAAAGGCTCCATGTACCCATATAGTATATATACTTAGGCCTTAAAAGGGGTTCCTATATAGGTACTTTACCCAAAGGGTCCTATGTACCTATATAGTAGAATGTAGGGTTACTATATTAGGAGCTACTATTATGATTTAGGGGAGTATCCCCCATAACAGTACATAGGACCCTTTGGGTTAGGGTCCGAGTATATAATAATAATAATGATAATAATAATAATGATAATAATAATAGTAATAATAATAATACTAATAATAATAATAGTAATACTATCTGGGTACATGGAGCCTTCGGGTCTGGCAGCTACGACCCATTGCTCCCTACATAGCGCTGCCGCCACGCCATGGCCGCTATGGCCCTCAGCAGGCGTCAGTGGTTTAGGGTTTTGGGTTTTCGGGTTTAGGGTTTCGGGTTTCAGGTTTAGGGTTTAGGGGGTTCAAGCTGAATCATGATAAAACGCGAGAGAAGCCTTTGCCTCGTGACACGGATAACCTGGGTAGACATGCCTGGTCCACGGGCTCCAGCGAAAGTCCTGTGCAGGTTTGCGGATCATAACAGGTATGCGGATCTTAACTACCTGTGCAGATCTGCGTGAGTAAGTCTTCTGACCATTCTGGATGGCAGGCGCAGAGCACGAGCCATTGCAAAACAAAAATACTCCGTGGTGCAGCGCCCCTCTTCGCCGGACTTGTAGACTGTGCCCAACATTCCCTAACTCTCCAGGTACCCACTATATAGGGCCCTAGGGGCTCTAGTTTTCTCTATAGTAGGCACCTGGAGGCAGAGTGGAGTATTCTGACATTTCAGGGTGGCAGGCGTGACATCTTCAGCACTGGCCAACCAGCAATGAAGCTGAAGTTTGCGCTCCGGGCCGAGTGCCGAGAACGCCGTGTCTGCAACCCTGCAATGTCAGAGGAGGTTCCTCTGCCCAGTGCTGTGCACAGAGCTACAAGTCGCACACCGAGCTTGCGCGAGGGGGGCCGCACCATCGACGATGCAGATTCGTTACCTTTGCTTGGCCAAAGAATCTGCATGTTCAATTGTGCAACGGCTGCTGCGCCATTCTCCCGATTGCAATGCCAAGAACAGGCAGAGGGTAGCAGGAGCAACCCTTGCCCTAAAGCCGTAAACCCTAAACCCTACACCCCTAAACCCTAAACCCCTGAACCCCTAAACCCCTAAACCCTAAACCCCTAAACCCTAAACGCCCAAACCCACCAGCCTCCGTCAACGGATGAACGAGGATCTGCCCTTCCAGGTTCGACAGCAGTGTGCCTCGCTGGACGTCGGAAGGGTTTTATACCCTAAGGGTCCATGTAGCCGAATAGGACATACTTTGGCCTTCAAGTAGTCCCTATTTGGGTACTTTGGGGCCAAAGCATATACTATTTGGGTACATGGACCCTTAGGGATAGTTTGTAACTGTCGGGTTTCGAATAGCGTTACTGCAGGGGTTCAAGGGCGGATCTGACTAGCATTCTTGTTAAAAAGGAAGGTGCTACAGGGGCATTATTCTACAAGTGGGCGAAAACTGTTCTATAAGATATCATAGGAGTACTGATAGGTTTTAGGAAAAGTGCTGCTACTTATGATGGACAATCATACCAAGCAGCAAACACGACTTTACAGAAGTCTCTGTCTGCTGCACAGACGCAGCGGCTAGGCTAGACTAGACGCTACACTCCCAAAGGGTCCTATGTACTGTTATGGCGGGGATACTCCCCTAAATCATAATAGTAGCTCCTAATATAGTAACCCTACATTCTACTATATAGGTATATACCTTGACAACCCTATGCCTTACAAATAAACATACATTTCAGAATTATTGGTTATAGGGCTAAGAAGCGCCAAAAAGGTAATATTACGTTTATTGGCTTTTGGGCTGTTTTTTAAGGTTTCGCAAGGGTTTGAGAGTAGACTGCATCGTTCTGATCAAAGCCCTTATATGGGATAGCTTTAATGATTTCGAAGGGTTCCTCGGGGTCAATTTGAGATCCGGTCTGTATAGGATATAATATATATATATATGATTATGTTATATATATAATATAGGGTTGTCTGGTGTGAGATATGGCAGACGTTGCCAACGCTCGGCCGATCCTCAGCTGTATGCTGTGGCTTCTGTAGCCCCTTCTTTGTGCCGCTGCTTGGCCTCAGGAGGTGAGCCCTTGCCTCTTCAAGCAGTTGTGCAGTGGTCTGTTTGTCGGCAAGCCCGGTGCACGCATTCGTTGCAGCTTTCGGTTGCTCGAGATAGCCTGGGTCCACGTTGCTACTTAAGATGGCAGCGACAGTGCTGTCACAGTGCTCCCCCATTGGGGTTGGCCTCGCGCATGAAGCAGGACATTTCATCATGAGCCTCTAAAGAGCATCATCGGTGCATCGGGATTTCGACTACATGGTTTGCTTTTCAATCCTTCGTGAGGACTTATGCATATGCCAAACGAGTTCTGGAATGCTGCTGTGGAGGCAATCTATGTCGATCGAGAGGACTGCAGATCGAGTGTGTCAGCCTTTGGGGGCTGGAAGGGGTTGTGGGGTGCAGTTATCCGAAGATGAAGGGTAGCCGGATAGCCGTTGCCAGGACTATCCGTGTCCAGACAAGATGCTGGAAGATGTTGTGGCGAACTTTCGAGAGGGTGGCATCTGCAAACACTTCTCCGATTTGTTTGATCATGGACAAGGCTTCTTTAGATCTGTGTTGCATGCAGTAGAAATTGGCGACGCCGTCTGTATTGTGCTTTCATTTATGATGCAAGCCCTGAAGGAAAGCTCTTGATCGAGGGGGGGGCTCTAGATGGTCAGTGAGACTATATGTGCTACGGCAACCGTGGCGATGAAAGTGCAGGTTATGCAGTTGGCACGATTCGTCGGGTGACTGCGATGCTGCATTTTGGGGGCATGGGGTCGAAAACAAGCCCTGGCGAAGCGCACTTGCAGATATCGGTCAGCCTTTTTCTGCGAATACTTGCAATAAAGCCTTCAGCTTCGCAGGTCGTTTTGAATGCATTCGCCCTGGCTGCTGCTGGCCGGGTCATTGACTGCGAGGCTCACCTCAGATCCGAAATTGAGTGCTGTATGCAGTTCGTATGATCGATCCCAACACAGGATCGGGAGCTGGATCCTCATCATTTGCTATGGGCCATGGCCCCAATTAGAGCTCTAGCAGGTCTACTCGAACACACTTTTATCTACTTTCATGGGCACTGCAGGTCTCTTTGGAGTGGACCTGGACTTTTGAATCCCAGCTGTGCGGGTCCTCGACTCAGGCTTTTCAGATATGGCCGGTCAAACTGCTCAAGTGCATGGTTGCTGCAAAGGGAATGAATCACTATGCTTCGCAGGATTTGGGTTGGCAGGACTTATAGTAGTGCAGCCATGGCTGCAGAGGAGGTGGCTGATGCCGCCGATGCTGCAGCTGGACACCTTCGTGTCCGAAGACAGCGGGGGCAAGTTTGGCCGGAGTTGGGCATGCTAGCTAAAGCCTTTGAGGATGACCAGGAAATACGTGGGATTTTCCGTAACAACAAAGGGCACTTGCTGTCATGGCCATCCCCACAGACGGTTGGCTGCGCCAGTCTTAAGGCACTAGCCCTCAATGTTCCGGTAGTGAAACTATCCTTGCAAATTTGGGGTGCAGTGATGACTTCTCCAAAGAGCATGGCCATTGATTGGCTGAAGAAGGAAGCTACTTGTCTTTGTGTGACCCCAGGATAGGTCCCATACCTTCATACAAACAAGTCAAACCCCACCTAAAGATTGTGAACATATATCTCTATATAGGTCTGCATAGCTTAGGTTCGGGGGTGTTATAATAAACCTGGATCGAAGTGCTGAGGCCTGAGGGGTGAGCATTGCAAAAACTTATGGGTGGCTTAATCTTTGCTGTCGGGTAGCCTGACCATTATATACCCCTATATAGTTATATAACCCTCATAAACCCTAAACCATAAACCCTAAACCCCTATAAACCCTAAACCCTAAATCTCTTATAGTCACACACCGGGCCCATGTGTGCATAAAAGTAACCAGGTTTCCGAGCTGCACAAGCTGCTGAATGCTGGAACGGCGAAGACTGTGCCCGTCTACGTGGACAGCTGGGGCATCAAAAGGCTGGCTACTTTGGCTATGAGGCGATGGAAAGCGCCGATCGGAGCGCTGCGAGTGGCTCGCATAAAACCCTAAACATTCTGCTAACATGCATCAGTGCATGCATGTGTGCATCACGGAGCTTGAACCCTGAATCAAGGATCGGTCCCTTCATGTCCTGTTCGATGTAATGACAGAAGCTTGGGGCCAGGAAGCTGAGGAGGCCGAGGTCGATGATGATAGCCCAGTGGCTGCTGCAGATGATTATCCAGCTGCCGAAGGAGGTGCCGCAATTCCTCATGCCTCGGCTGCTGCAATAGCTGAGGACGCTTTGGATGAAGAGATGCGAGCTACGCAAATGCAGCTGGAAATCTTGGAGAAACTTAACCTACAAATTACATGTCTACTTTGGCTGCACTCGTAAACTGGCTCTGTCTGTCATGAAAAGCTTAGGAATTATTTGGCAGATCGGAAACGAGCAGCCGGAATCTTGGAAGCAATGTTATTGCTCACTGCACGTGGCTGCACAGGATTGGTGGACTCGAGATTCATGATTCCTTGCTGATGCCGTCTTAGGCCATGGTGTGGATCCTTCCACAACGGATACTGTTCCTTACAACATCATGCTGGGAGACCCTTCATCGGTATTGGATGCTTGCATCGATATCAGTGATGATGAAGATCTGGATGGTGAACCTTTGGGTCTCGAGGACTTTTAGTGCCGATCGATTGCACACACCCTGTCTTCATGTGCAGAGGGTTAACCCAAACCCTAAACCCTAAACCCTGTAGCCCTAAACTATGCTCGAAATTTCAACAGCCTCGGGGCCTGAAAGGATGATGGTGGAGAAAAACCAGATCCGGAGCCTCGCCGCGAGCTGGATGGAAACGGACCCTCCAGACCTTTGGAAGCCCCGGCTACCCCTACTTCGGTGGCACCAGGTTGCAATCCGGAGGGGGAAGTGGCCGACAAGGAGCAGGAGATGCCTGAGGAAAATGGTGAGTTCGATGTGATGAACTTCAAAGCACCTTGTATATTTCTATTTTGTATGAATTAAGGCTTGTCCAAATTGCATGAGTTCGAGCATTCAACTGTTGCAAGTATGTATACCATAGACGTCCTGTTCAGGGCAATCCTTCCGGCACCGAGCAGCACCAGCTGGCTCAGAGCATTTCAGGCCGAGGGAACCCCGACAAGTCGATTCCGGAGTCTGAAGAGGCTAAGGCTAAGCCAGGACGTGGTCGTGGCGGTCGTGGCAGAGGCAAGGCTCCCGGGAAAGGCAAAAGCCCCGAGAAAGCCAAGGGGCCAGGCAGAGGTCGTGGCAGAGGTCGCGGCCGCGGCCGCGGCGGCAGTGCCTCGGATTGCACCCCCTCCCCGAAAGCCAAGCTCGACGGCGACGACGGCGAAACCCCTGAAAAGACATCCCCAGCCAAGCCTACGAACCCCACCAAAGCTGCAGCGAAAGCCAAAGCTAAGGCTACCCGGGCTGAGCATGTGGCTTCACCAAAGAAGGCTACCCCGAGCAAGAAGCCCAAAGCATCCCCAAAGGCCAAGGCAAATGGAAAGAAGACATCCCCGAGCAAGAAGAAACCCGAAGCATCCCCGAAAGCCAAGAATGTCAAGAATGACCCCAAGAAGGTATCAGCAGGTACACCCGAACCAGGACCAGGAGCCACAAGTGCTGCAGACAAGAGTGCTTCCAAGAAGCGCAAACGACACAGCGAGGAGGATAAGTCCTTCGCACGCCGCGCCAAGCCCTCCACCGAGCACGCCTTGAATCAGTGGACAGCCATCCGAGACGTCTTCAAGTCCGATCTGTCGCTGAAGTACAATAGCACACACCAGGACAGCTGTTATAGGATCACATGTGCTGTGCTGTCATGTTCGGAACATTTAATAAATCCGCCAACCTGTCGACCAGCATGCTTCTGAACAGGATGACTTCTGGATGCTGGCAAAGCCACGGATGCCGAAGAATGCGCCCCTGTCGCAGTGCATCAAGGTGGCTAAGAAAGCTGCCCGCGAGTTTCTGCTTACGGCTCCAGAGGAGCCCGTTGGGGAAGGGCACGACTAGCCAAAGAGGTTTTGATCGTGCGCCAATTCTGTGATCTTGATCTGCTAGCTGTGCTCACGTTAAGCCAGGATCCTGTAGCCCATCTGCTTGAAGATGCTTAGATGCTTAGAGGCTCGGGTGGCGAAATGTGAGAGAAGCTGTTGCATGCCATGTCAATCTGGGGTGCTAGAAAATCGATGCAGCAGCAACTTCGAAAACAAAGTGCATTTGAGTTCTGCTTTGTGTCACTTCCTTGACCTCAACAACATAAGCCCTTCAGCAATCCCTCGGCCGAGGCTGGACGATGCGAAAAGGAGTGGCCTTTCTGGCCCGTCGTGGAGCAGTGCCAGATGCCTCTGATGCAGGCATTTACCGGCTCGCTTTTACCAGGGTTTGGGTTTAGGGTTTAGGGTTTAGGGTTTGCGGGCTTTTACCTGGAGCTTGGGTTGGGATGTCTTTGCGGGCTTCAGGTGATTACAGGTTCGGCTATTCAAAGTAAACCCCTAAACACTATAAATATATAAAATTAAGGAGTTTAGGAGGTTTCCAGTTTTGGATAGGTTGGCCTCTTTTGGTTTAGGGTTCATAGGTTTAGTGGAGCCTATATAAGCTTAACATATATTATATAATATATTTTATATATAATATATATATAATATATATCGTATATATATATGTATAGAATAGGTTTTCTATATTAATTTCTGTTTAAATAATTCTATGCTCAGGCTTGGGGTTTTGGCTGGTTGCTAGCTAAGCTTATGCAGGGTCATAAAGTGCTAGAGCCCGAGCCTCTCTTTGAAACCCAAATTATGCAAATCCTCCCCCACCTGAAGCCACAAGGCCTGGTGATCTAATTTGGAGACGACCCCACAATTCTAGTATACACTCGAACTGCCTCTCGGTCTGTCTGATATATGAACCCCCGATATAGGCCCTGAAGCCCCCAATTAACCAAATTTTAAGGAAATGCTAAACCCTACCTTATGACCTCCATTATTGTCCAGCTTGGAGCGGTGTGGCTTTGTTGCCAACGCAAGATTGATCCTCGAGGAACTGAAGCACACATGGCATGTCACACATACATAACCAGAGACCTGCAGCATCCTCTTTAGAGATTCTGAGATGCAGCTTTCGATCGGTATGTTGCATGCATCGGTGACTGCATGCTGCATGAGCTATAAATTTGGATCCGTGGGATTTCTGATCTCGCAATGATCGACGATGCTCAGCTGGATGCTTGCATCCGCACACTGCTCGCTCTGAAGGTCCCGAAGGCTACTATATTGCAATACAAGGTTTCTCTGCAGTCCATTGTGCAGCCGAGAGCCCGAACCCCACATGCACAGCCAAGGCTTTTGTCGCCATCGTTCTCCTGTCATATTGGCTGGACCCGAAACCGCCGTTCTGCAACGAGACATTTGATGTCATAGAGCTTTATGCGGGCCGTGCAAGGATCACTAGGATGGCTCAGGCTGCAGGGTATCGTGCTGTTGCTGCCGATCAAAAATATGATCCCCATGAGTTCTCATCCCTCCACTTGAACGAGAACTCCGGCTTCGTGTTCCCAAGCTAGACATTAATCAATGCAAGTATATCATGCAGATACCCCACAGATCCGAATCCTTTATATACCTTCTAGCTGAGGTTGGCGGTCCTGATGATCCTCAGCGGCTCCTTTGAGGGTGCCATTGCGGTCCTCGGGATCGAGTGCAGCACTTTTGTGCAGATGAACCGTGGAACAAGCAAGAGAAGCGAGCTTCTGCCCTGGGGGGACACAACGGTTGATTCTGTCTACGAGGCCAATATGGCCACATCAAGGAGAATGCTCTGCATAATGAATTGTCCTGGAGCCTTCTACTTTCGGAGTTTTAAGTGTCTAGATTAAAAAAAACATATGCTGGATAGCTTCTTATAGATCGCTTCGTGAAGGCTTGGTGCCCACTGGCTTGAGTGAGAGATAGAGAGATAGATAGATAGAGAGAGAGAGAGAGAGAGAGAGATATATATATATATAAGAAACAGCGACAGAGCGCGAGAGAGAGAGAGAGAGAGTGAGTGAGTGAGTGAGTGAGTGAGTGAGTGAGTGAGTGAGTGAGTGAGTGAGTGAGTGTGTGTCTGTGTGTGTGTCTAGATGTGTGTGTCTCTCTGCATGTATGTGTGTATATATATAAATATAGTATATATAATATATAATATGTGTGTCTGCATGTCTGTGTGTGTGTGAGACAGACACAAAGAGTTGTTCGGGACACCTGCACTCCGACGTCTAGAAACAATTCTAAATATGCAACCAAAATTGACACGTAATCCACAACCCCTGAGAACCCTAAACCCTTGCGAAGCCATAAGCCCCTAAACCCTTGGTTCCCAGGACGTGTCTGCTATTGGTTCTCTTGGCCACTTTGGGCCACCATTTCTTCGTCGAGAATCCGGGCAGCACGTTGCTGGGATACTTTCCCAGGTTTTCCTGGGTCTGTTCTATGCTGAAAGCTCACGGTGTTCCAGCCACCAGTCTTGCATATATATATATTCATGATTGCAGTCAAACGATGGATGGCACATTGTGCAATGGAAGCTAGCTAGATATGCTGCTTATAAGGTCTACATCCAGAAGTTTTACATGTGCCACTTCGGTCATGCAAACCCGAAGAAGACGCTGCTTTGGTCTACAACACCCTACATCAGGGCATTCGATTGTGGACAACCAGTGGGAGCCCAGCGAGCAGCAAGCATCAAACTCAGTAAGAAATACACAGATCGGTTTGGAAAGAAAAGGTGGCACGGCACCAAGGACTTGAAACCCAGCGGGTTACCAGGCTATATTGGATTGTAAAAAAAATTATACTTAACTAAAATATTTCAAGATTCTTCGGCTCCGATATGAGATCCCTCGATCCTATAAACCCAGTTACCATCCTTAAGCAAATAGGGGCCCTAAGCCCTAAACCCATAAACCCCTACAGCCCTAATTAAACCTTATATAAACCATTATCCACAATTTGTCTTATACCTATACCTAAGGATCTACCCGCCCCTCTTCGCCCGAAAGATGGTGGAAATGATCGATCCCTGCCGACTGAAGTCACGACCATCTGTGAAGAAGGCGGCAACAAAGTCTATAAAAAACCCTAAACCCTGAACCCTAAACTAGCTGTCACCCTCAAGTATATCAACCCACGCAACCCCCGTACCCAGCTGCTGCAGGCGGCCGATGCGATCTCTGAGAAGCCCCTCCACGAGATATTTGCCGATGCATCCTGGGACGAAACAGACTGGGATGAAGCATGCTTGGGTCAAGTTGTTTTGTATATGAGGCTTGCGAAGAATGTAAAGGTTCCTCTTGAGTTCAAGCTCTTGATCGACAAGTACAGATTTCCGAGGGACCTGCCTTTCCTCTATCCACACCAGGACCAGCATGATGACTAAATTATAGTGTCTGGGTCCCCGCTGAATCCCATAGATGGCACTCTAGAGTTCAGCAGCCACAGCAGACCGGCCTCCGTTCGAACCCCAGACAGGCTAAGACTAGCTTCTTTTGGGGGTCGATTTTGACAATCTAATGGCTGGTCTGGGCTCAAATTGGAGTTTTTGGCACTGGTGTGGAAAATTCGGCCCGGAAACAGTAGCGGAAACTGGCGTCGAAATGCCGGAAATTGGCGTCCAAATGCCGGAAATTGGCGTCCAGCACCCATAGCACCTGCCCAGCCCCTGAAACATGCCTCGCGGCAGGTTTTCTATGGCCCGAAGGAGGTCTCAAAATGGAGGCCACCAGGTCTTCTAGCACTGTCGGGCAATCCCGGGAAAGCCTGGACAGAGGGGGGGGAATCCTTTCAGATGTCGCCCAGCGGGGAGTCGTAAAGACCGAAGATGAACAGGATGAGGAGGAAATTTTGAAGCAGATCCAGGCGGCATACCCTAAACCCCAAACCCTAAACCCCTCTAGAGAAGCCAAGCATTAGCATCCATTGATTCAGGTTCTGAAGAAGAAACAAGCACTCCTTCGGGAAGCGAAGGCTGGACTATAGGGTTCTACCGGGCTCCTGCTGGCTGTTGGGTTAGATAAGATGTATACGGGGAGTGGTCAGGGGGTATGCTGGGGACGGATTGAGTGGGGATACATCCTAGACCCAACACTCTATGCACGCGAGCACACACGCACACAAGCACGCACACACAGACACACAGGGACAGACAGACAGACAGACAGACAGACAGACAGACAGACAGACAGACAGACAGACAGACACACACACACACACCCACACACACACACACGCACCGCACACACACACACACACACACCCACGCACACACGCATGCACGCACGCACGCACGCACACACACACACAGACACACACACACACAATATATATATATACACACATGCATGCACACACACACACACACGCACATGTATAGCGGTGTATACATGCACAGCACGTATATCTAATCTATACATGCATGCATGACACATGATACAGATGTAAATTTTAAGTAACTAACGAGCCATGCTTATATATATAATATATATATAAATAATATAGCTGGGCATATAATATAGCTGGGCATAAATACGGTTTCAAAATTCGGAACCGTTGTATGGATCTGGAGTCATGGTTGCAGTAAATATAAGGATGATTAGTCGGATTGGTGTATACTATCTAGGGACCCATATCGCCCTGCATCGTTCCATATTAACATGTATGTTCACCAATCTGACTGGAGCCTCATCCGGTCCACATAGTCTAGATCGAACACTATACACCCACAAGATAAAACCTTGGATCCGAAACTAATCTTTAGGGTTTAGGGTTAGGGTCTATAGGGTTTAGGGCTTTAAAATTAGGCTTTATATGGATTAACATATGGATAAGATTCCCAAAGTCATCCGAAGCCACCCCGGACCCCAAACATTCCTATACATATAAGTGTCGATGCTCCAGCATGCTGAATGCATCTGCAGGCTGCAGAAGCTGCCAGGGACGTACAGGACGAAGGCTCGTTCAACCTTAGCTTGTTTGAACTGCAATCACACAACCCTGCTGTTTTTATAGCCCTGCATGATCTATGTAGTGTGTCACATATATTGTATACATGCATGTATACTATAGCATCACATGCACCTGTGAGGGGCCGGACGAAGCAAAGGCAGAGTCTGAGCGACAGGCAAAGGAAAAGGCTGAGGAACTTCGACAGGCAAAGGAAAAGGCTGAGTCCGAGCGACTGGCACAGGAAAAGGCGGAGGAACTTCGGCAGGCAAAGGAAAAGGCTGAGTCCGACCGACTGGCTAAGGAAAAGGCAGAGGAACTTCGGCAGGCCCAAGAAAAGGCTGAGCGCGAGCGACTGGCACAGGAAAAGGCAGAGGAACTTCGGCAGGCAAAGGAAAAGGCTGAGTGCGAGCGACTGGCAAAGGAAAAGGCAGAGGAACTTCGGCAGGCAAAGGAAAGGGCTGAGTGCGAGCGACTGGCAAAGGAAAAGGAGGAACTTCGGCAGGCAAAGGAAAGGGCTGAGCTTGAGGGACAGGCAAAGAAAAAGGCACAGGACGAACTTCGACAGGCAATGGGGAAGGCCGAGTCAGAGCGACTCGACCAGGAAACGGCTGAGTACGAGCGACTGGCGAAAGAAAAGGCAGAGGAACTTCGGCAGGCAAAGGAAAAGCGAGTCGCACAGGAAAAGGCGGAGGAACTTCGACAGGCAAAGGAAAAGGAGGCACAGGAAAAGGCTCAGTCACAACGCCTGTTTGAGGAAGGCATCCCACAGGATCGTGAATCAATTCTTGCTCAGATAGCAGAACACAAGGCCAAAAAGGAAGACTTGGAGAAGATGAAGGCAAAACTGGCCAGGCTTCAGCAAGAGCTGACTGCTGAGCTGGAGGTGACAGACGCTTTGATGCAGACACAGCAGGTACCGTTGATGCCAGGTATGATGAAGACAGAAGCCGCGACCCCCGAGACCCAGCCCATGACGCCGGCAGAAAAGGCACTTCTGCGAGGTTCGAGCGAGGATGCCCAGGATGCCTGGGTTTGTCGGGGCCTCTTTCAGTCCCCCACGCCGCCCCCGGCCCAGGAAACTCCGGTGCCTCCCCCCACGCCACCCCAAGCCCCGGTCGCTTCCCCCACGCCACCCCAAGCCCCGAAAACCACAGCGGCGAAGTCGGCTGCTGCCCCGCCAGCCCAGATTGCAAAGGCCAAAGCCCCGGCCCCGACTCCCAGCCCAGGTGCAATCACGAAAAGGATCATGAGATGCTTGGAACCGTCGAGCAAGGGAGTCTTTAAGGTGGCCAAGTGTATCCGTGACCAGTTCAATGCTGGTGGCAAGTCCAAAGACAAAGTGCTACAGCTCTTTGCTCAATGCGACCACGATCCGGACAGGGCATTACATGAGTCATATATGCATGCATGCACATACAGTATTAACCATGCTATCTACAGTATGCTTCCCTGAAAGGAAACCTTCATAAGCAAGTTTTCTGTGGAGCGGGAGAAGCAGTTTGAGATGGAGTTGGAGGTTGATTTCGAATTCCTTACCAAAAAGGAAATGCTTGAAGATCAGCACATGACAACGACTCTCAACAGCATAGAATATCAATGTACAGCACCCGAAATCGAAAACCCGTCCTGACTCACCTGGCTTCACAATCTAAGGGAAGAGATTGAGCAGTGTGTTGCAGCAGCCGAGAAAGAGCCCAAGCGCAAAATTCGGTGACTTGATGGTGATATAACCAGGATTTTCTATTCAAATCCTAAAATTAACCTCCAGACCTAAACCCTGAACCCTAAACACCGAAAATAACGCCCAAACCTAAACATTGAACACCAGACCCCTCAACCCCTTTTTGTTACCCGAGCTCTACCCTAACGGAACAGCCTTTCATTGCAAAGCCTGCTATCCATCCGAGGAAGCATCCCTATAGGAGTGGAGTGCTGACATACTATTGCGAAATCAAGACTAAAGGGCACAGCAAGAACCTTGTCTGCATCAGGATATTTAACATACTAGACGTACCCAGCCTTCTGTGAACCCACGTCCCTACCTGAGGAAAAGAGATCGTCTGACTATGACCGAGCATATGGAGACTGAAGCCTTCGGGGGTGGCCTGGATATGGAAGTGGATTTGGAGGAGAGCTTGAACCAGAGCGCAAGCTTCTCTATTGCAGTTTAGTTGCCATTGCAGCTATATAATCGCCGTGCACCAGCATGATCCTCTTGCCTGGGCCACTTAAGCAAATAAGGCTCTCGACCCGAAACCTTGGTGGACGCAGCTGACGGGGCTGTTGGTTCAGGGCCTGTGAGTGAAGATCTCAGCAGGGTACTCAAGAAGCTAGGATACCCAGAAATCCACGACAACGCGAAGCCGTCTGCATTGATGGAAAAGGCTATCCAAGCCTGCACTAAACGCATAAAGAAACTATGGGAGATGCTTCCTACACGGGAGACTGAGACTGAGCAGAAGGAGGCTGCCCCTGAGCCTCCGCAGTCGGGAAGTTCCACTATAGATCTGCAAGAAAAGACTCGTTCTCAGCATACAGTGTTCGGTGAGTGAAGATTACACGCATTGTTTGCTGTTGCATACAACCATGTGCACATACATACTCATGTCGTCGCTCAGGATGTTTCAGAAGATCCGTGTCCTCTACGGGCAAGTGGATGCATGCTGTGAAGCACTTCAGAAGTTCAAGGCTGAGGGTGTCCTGGAGGGCTTCACTGAGAAGCTCCTAGCCTGCTCATATAGATGGCCCGAAATCCGTTACTGCAACCCCAAACCCCACTCAATAACCAAATGAACAAACCCACACTGAAAGATTTGATAACAGCTGCATGTGTCAGACTCGAGAACAACTATCTATAGGTCCTTAAACCCTCCCTAGACCCTGAACCCCAAACCCTAAACCCTAAACCCTAAACTTATAAACCCTAAATGCCTATGTGCCGAGGATGGAAAGCAGCATCGATGTGGAGCTGGGCAGATGCCGAAGGTTGTGCCGTGGCCGAACACAATTGTAAAAGCCTTAAACCCAAAACCCTAAACCCTTAACCGCCCTCGCTTTGGAGATCGGATCTGTTTCATCCTAGGCTGATTGAATCTGCCGAATTGGAAACCCGGGCCAGGATTGCAAGCTCAGTTTTCGTGTGTAATAAGACGAGTCTATGTAGAACTGCTGGCTCGCAGGACTATCATCCCGAACGTGAAAGCGAAGATTGAGATTTATCCCAAAGCAGCCCCGAAGGCTAATCCGAAGGCGAGAGTGAAGGAACCCGCTGCCGAGCCACCATCCAAACGGAAGAAGCCGTGAGCCGATGGCAGACACGTCGCTGGATCCTTGCTCAGGGGCTGCGATCTAAACTTAGCCCGGCTGGGTTACATTATGCTCGTATACACACTTAAGCTAATTCAGGGCCCCGAAGAACCTGTCGTTGATGAGCCCCTGATAGCATGGATCCTCCAGGTTTTGGAACAACTCTGTCCAGTCGCGACTAGAAAAGTTTGGCCTATAGGGCAGTTGCAGCATTTATACTCTTATATTGGGTGCCATTTAGGGTGAGATTCCGTGCAGCAGGAGCAGATTACATGTTTATACATGCAATAGCTAGATTATTGTCCCCTAGGGATAGCATGACAGGTGATGAGCCGGCAAGCCACACCCTTCGTGCATTGGCCGAACGAGTGGCTGATGGAGTCGTCGTCTCAGATTGATGAATGCAATCTAATCCCGAGTACAACCGGATCCCCTAAAATCAATGTAAACCTTGAAAGCTTAAATTCTCAAGTATAGAGGCCAATGCATGGTGAAACACCAAGATCTCGAGTCATGCAAAGCCTTAACATGTTCCAATCCCTCGATATCAGATTAAACCCGATCAACGTACCCAAATATCCTTACATCGATCGAAGCGAAGCTGAAGCTCAAACCCGAAACCTATAATCCTATATGTGAGCGCGGATTTCCCTGACCCAAAAGCTCAAATTTAGTAGTCTGCCTGGCCAGTCCCGAACTCAAGCAAGAACCACCCCAGCCATATAGTTTAGTGCAGGAGTGCTTTCATGTTGGGCCCCCGAAGCTCCAGATCAAAAAGTCCAAGATGTTCCAAAGCCCCCGAATTCAAAATAAACCCGGTTTAGGGTCTATAGGGTTTAGCTAGGGCTTATAGGGTCTATATAGGGTTTAGATATAGATGGTGTGTGTTCAATATAAAACTCGAGCTGAAACCCACAAGGTCATGAAAAGAACTCCGATAGCTAGTGCATAATGTTAGGGGTTCGGACTTTGCATCGTTGAACCAAGCCCCAGCAAACTCCTTGACCCCGAAACCATCAACATACCCGAACCGAAACCTATCAGCCACTATCCAGGCTCCAGCTTGTGTGATCGGCGAGATTGCTGAAGCTGTAGTTGCCGACGGTAGTGCGACTCGGAACATACGGGAGGCCACAAAGGTTGACAAGAATCATAGTGAACGCAATGCACACAGACTGTTCAACAGATATGGCTTGGCCCTCCGGGTTCCCATCTCCTTTCTCGAGGTGCAGCAAAGTAGCAGCCAAGATTCCATCATGCTGCCATATCTGAAGATCACAGACTTCCTGAAGCATTTGCTTAACAAGTTTGAAGAAGCCCTGTTTGCAGGGCAGAAAGCTGATTCTGATGCTGCCCGGGACCTTTGTAGGACGTTTTGGGGTCGGTATGAAAGCTACCACCGCAACCATGTGGCTTTCAAGGATTTGGATGATGAAGATAGATGTCACACTGTTCCTATAGCGGTACATGGTGACAAGGGTAGAAGTTTGCAGAAATCCCCGATCTTTGTCTTCAGCTTCGAATGTGTTTGGGGGCTGCCACCAGACAGGCTTCAAAAGGTTGCTTACGATACTCGTCGTGTATCACGTCATGACACGCACCAAGGGCATCTGAAGTGGTCTTGTGGCCGCCGTGCATTTGGGAAGCGGTGCTTCAATCAAATGTCTTTTGATAGCTGTACCTGTCGATCTGCTGATCACTTAAACCCCACATGCAAAGGCAATCATCAGCGCCACAACAATCGTGGGCACAGCTATCTGAGTCGGTTTCTGATCGCAGCCATCCCTTCGAAGCTCTACAATCGAAACAAAGAGGCACTACCATCCTTGTTGAAGCAAGCAGCCGGGGATCTCCGAAAGGTTTTCGAAGAAGGCATCCTGCACGAGAGGTCAGGCAAGCGGTTCCGGTTTGCCCTGGTTGGCGCTAAAGGCGACGCAGAGTGGCATTTCGAGGCGGGCGGTTTCAACAGGTCGTATCATCGAAGTGGTACGAAAAACGATGGGCCCATGTGCCCCCTCTGTGATGCTGGCACCGAAGGTGTTAGTTACACAGATGTGTCTGATGCTCCCGAGTGGCATCGGAGCATCGGCCGATCAGTGCCATGGGAAAGCACGCCGCCCCTCAACGAGGCACCATTCTCTACGGATTTCCCAGCCAACCTCTATAAATTTGATCCTTTTCATGTTCTCAAATTCGGAATATTCCGTGATGCTGTGGGGAGCACGATCGTGAGATTGGCACTGATGGGCTACTTTGATTTTGATGATGACAATGGTACGAGAAACATCGTTGATCGCCTTAGCAGGGGTTTCTCGCTCTACAAGATGTGGTGCTTAGCAGAAAACAGGAACCCTTCTTTGAAGAACTTCACTAAGGCGAACATGAGCTTCGAGACATTCAAAAAGTTTGCAGAAGTGAACTGTAAGGGCAGCGAAGTGACGCTGTTGATGCAATGGCTGGAATTTTTCCTGGGTGTCCTTGAGCCGAATGAAGCAAGCCATGCTGTAGTCTTGAAAGCAATGTCTCAGATGATTTCTGGAGGCTTGTCGTACATCGGCATCATGCACAGTCATGGCATCTGGCTCCCATGGAGCTGTGCCAAAGTTCAGCACTATGGGGGCTTAGCCTTCGCTCGAGGTTACACCTACCTCGCCGAGCACCTGATGTTTCAGGGGGCTACAGGGTACCGCTTGAGACCGAAATTGCATTATTTCATGCACCTGCTGCATACTTTGAAGCTTGGGATTGACAAAAAGGAACCCTATGTCCTCAACGAGGCTTTGCATCTTTGCGAGGCCAATGAAGACTTCATTGGCCGTTTGGCCAGGATTAGTCGTCGTGTCCATGCTTCACAAGCTGCAATGAGGACCACGCAAAGATACTTAGTCAAAGTTCGCCTGCTTCTTGAAAAGCTCCTCGATAAGTAGCTTAGCCTCTTATGTAAGGTTGTCGGCTTAAGAATGGTTTAAGGTCTAGCTTAAGCCTGACCTATAAGCCCGTCACCATGTATGGGATGATTTGCTTACACCTCACCCTACTCAGTCTTCAAGCTTCGTGACAACGAGGAGCTTTGGCCAGTCACTCGACTCGAACTTGCTGTCGGTTAGAGAGAAAGAAGTGTTGAACAATTATTTTTTTTCAGAGAAGGAGGATTCTGCCGATTACCTTTTTTTCGGACAATTGCGTTTATTGTAAATAATGGCTTTTTTTCCTGCATTTAGACATTGTGCCTGAAATTCGGGGGGGGCGGGTTGTTAAGGTAGGACTCTTTGGGACTGCAAAGCTACAGCACGCCCGGAAGCTTAGACAGCGATAATGCCGAGATCACGATAAACATGTCATGCTTCAGGCACTGGCGGTACGTAGCATAGTCGCCCGTATCGTTCTTGCAGTAGGAGGAGGGACAGCAAGAGTCACCATTTATTACTATCAACATTTTGCAACAAGTCCTACACCCAGACAGTCCCCCAAACTAGAGACTTCGTGCTCTGGGCTTTTGGAAAAAACAGTTGGCTTCTCGTGGTCTCTGCATCTGCAAGCTACTGCATGGCTGAAGGAAGTGAGCCCACTGTTCATCACCGACATGTCAGGTGCAAAGTCCAAAGGACATCCCTTAAGTCTTAACCCTATGCCCTAAACCCTAGCAAACCATGTACAAACAAGACCGAACTCCGTCAGAACGCATTGAAACCGCGCCGGCAGCAGAAGGGCATTTTTGCAGGGTTCGGGGTTCAGGAACCCCAAACCCTCAACTTTAAACCCTAAGCCCTAAAAGGAGATTAGGGCTTAGAAGGCTTTGTTACTTAGAGCTTAGGGGTGAAGTGACGATCTTGAGAGGCGAAGCCTGACGATCGAACACCTCACATTTTCAATTCGCTTCCTACCTATAGTCTCCATTGTAGTTCCTTTTTGGGGTTACCTTTCAGGATCCTTAATACAAAATGGGTTAAACCAACAGGGAACTACAATGGAGACTATAGGTACACCTTGAACCCTCAGCCCCTGAGCCCCTGTTTAGGGGACCCTGAATCCCGAAACCCTAAATCCATCAGCTCCTAGATCTGACCACAGCCCCTACTCGGAGTCCCGCAGGACCCTACTTTTCCTAAAGCGCACGGTTCAGGGTTTAGGGCCTAAGGTTCCTATTCCTCAAACTGGGCGTTGAAGTAACCAGGGGGAAAAAACATATAGACTTGTGTTTCATGATGGTTCCTTCAAGGAAGAGGTCCAAAAATCAAGTCTTCGAGGGCACTCCAGAACCCAGATTATCAAACCCAAACCCTAAAACCCCAAACCCTAATACCCTAAACCCAGCTTATCATAAGCTCCTTCGCGCTCGAAACGTAACCCAAGCTCCCGAGAATCACGGAACCCGAAATTCCTACTTGGGTAGTTCGCTAAATTAGGGCCCCGTTTTAGGTCCCCAATGTAGTACGGCACCCTTATAAAAAGAAGCCTAAAAGGGACCCTGATTTAGAGAACTACCCACTTACAGTCCAAAGTCACAGGCGCCCCAATGTCCAAAACCCTACTACCAGGGATCTCCAAATCTAAATCTACTGCTTCAGGGCTGATCTCCTACGGCTGATGATCAAAATCCTGCATTACCCAGCATAAGGAATCTTCCATAATTCCCGCAGTTTAGGGTCCTTAAGGTAATGCAGGATTTATATCATCAACAGTAGTTAGTCTTTGGGGATACCGATACCGGAATACACACCAAAGCCCTCCTTCTACCTAAGGGTCCATGTACCCAAATAGTATATACTTTGGCCCTAAAGTAGCTATATGGGGACTACTTCAAAGCCAAAACATATCCTATTTAGGTACATGGACCCTTAGGGTTCTACCTAAACTAGGCAATTGCTTCATATTGTACTTGCCGGTGTACTGGGGCTCCAGTATTTTTAGTCTCCTCAACCCGAAACCCTACAAAAAACCGCGTAAAGGCATGTTAGCATGAGAAGGACTAACCCAAGTTACGCCGAAAGCTCTCAATCTGAACCCCTAAAACCCGACACCCTCTACTAAACTCTCAACCCTAAACCCTAAACTCAACAAAAAAACGATAACCCTCAACTAAAGCCTTACTCCTTAACCACAAACTCCCAACCCCTAAAACCCCCAAACCCCTAAACCCCCACACCCTAAAACGAAAAAACCCTAAACCCACACCCCCTAACCCTAAAACCCTAAAGCCCTCAACTAAAGCCTTAAACTTCTAAATCCCCATACCCTAGAGGCCCCAGAGCCGAAATCCCTCAAAAATCCGAAACAAAAACCCAAGGCCCCCGAACTCGGTAAGGTTCAGAGGTTTAGGGTTTAGGGGTTTGGGGGTTTAAGTGTAGGGTTTAGGGTTTACAGTTGGGGTTTGGGGTTTGAGGGTTTAGGGGTTTAGGGTTTGGGGGTTTAGGGGTTTGGGGGTTTGGGGGTTTAGGGTTTGGGGTTTTAGGGTTTAAGGGAAATCTTTGCAGAACCCCTTAGAAAGCCCGAAATAGCTCTCATAAGCTCCAGAGCTCTCCAGAACCCGGCATAACACCGGCAAGCCCACATTCAAATCTAAACCCCTAAACCTCTAAACCCCTAAACCCCAAACCCTAAACACTAAACCCTAAACCTAAACCCAAACCCCTAAACCCTAAACCCTGTACCCTAAATAGCCGGGGTACTCCGAAGCGAGATGCCAACTTCGAGTTGGGCTCGCACGAACCTCGGCAAACAAGCCGCAGGGGAAGGCTTCGAGTTGTTTAGGGTTTAGAAGGCTAAGGTCGGTTTGTGACCGTCAAGCTCTATCCTCAAACATTATGACAGCAAATCCAAGTCGAGCTGCTTGTAGTTGGGCCAAGGTAGAAGATAACGCTGCGACATGTAGTGCCGCAGCTTGTTCCAGCAGGCCTCTTGGGCGTCTCGTGGTCGTCATAAGGCTCGCGGGCTTCTTCGGGGGCCAACGAAAAACACCAAAACGATGCCTCACAGTACCATGGCGGGTCGAGAAGACCCACATCCACGATGCCCAGCTCCTCCATCCTGGGAGTTTCATCAAAATAGCACGGGCCGACTTAGAGGATTGCGGGTTTGGGGTCTAGAGGGCTTAGGTTTTTGGAGGCGTTGGGCTTCACTTTGAGGGACATGGAAAGTAGGGATACAAGTAGAGCAACTCTGCTCACATGTAAAAAAACCGCACTTCTAGCCACTGATGCTCACTTGAAGTACTCCAACGCGTAAAGGGTAGGTCTGGGTAGACTGGGTTTCTGACAACAAGGCCTTTGCAACAAGGGCGCCTGCTGATCAGTCCCTAAACCCCTTTTTGGGGCTTATATTTAGGATTCTATAAGGTAATCCCAAGAAGGAATTTCTATGGAGCCTATGGGTAAACCCTAAAGGTGGTCTACATTTGCTCCGAAGAAACGATCCCGGGTTTTGGGCTTGGAGGTTTGGCAGCAGCACGATGTCCGTCCTAACCAGCGCACGGGACCTCAGCGCGCCACATTACTTCCAAAATGAAGCATCAAATAATGTTACCACAGTTTTTCGAGGTAAGCGCAGGATGTTCTACAGGTTGCTATGGATCGGAGCTTGTTCCGTTGTGTCTGTCATCTTTCGTGCCGCGACCTGCCGTGCTACTACTCCTGCAGCTTCCATAGCCAACATTACCATGAACACAACAGCTTCAAGGACTATTTGGAGATTTCGAGCCCTGCCGGCTTATTGTTGGTGGGGGATTAGGCAGTCAAGGTTCAGGGTTCTAAAGCGTGGGAGGCTTAGGTCGAGCTAGTGGGAAATGCGGCTTTAAGGTAAGGTCTTTAGGCTGATATAACGACTATATGGTTTAGGTATTGTCAATTGTAGAGGTTCGAGGTGAACTCACGTATAGAACAGTAAAACCTACATCCGAATCCTAAGTCATACACCAGACCCCCCCAACCGAGCCCGTGCTGCGTTTGTGTCTAAATATATACATCATACGTCTATGTATATTATATAAAAAAAATCCTAAACCTCAAACCCCCAACCTTAAACACTTTAAACTCTAAACCCTAAACCCGAAAATAAACTTTAAGCCCTAAACTCTAAACCCTAAGCATTAAGCCCTAAACTGGATCCCTGTTGGGGCCATATTAAAATGATCATTTTTAATGCTTGTTTGGGTTTTATCATGACAAAATGTAAAATTGTATCCAACAACGACCCAGTAAACTCTAAACCCTAAACACTAGAAGAGGCCGAAGTCACTCAGCGAACTGCAGGCCGTGGAAAGGATCCAAAAACCAGAGGGTCTCTTGCTGACCCGCATTTTCCCCAAGGGTCCTAGGCACTGTTAATTATAGGATTTAGGATTTAGGGGTTTA